GTTCAGAACAACTATTCTTTCAAGACATAAACTTGTAGAACCCTTGATGTTCACAACTTTAAATTGTTTCAAAATTGTGTTAAGTAAAGCAAATACAAAAAGCTATACTTCATGACAGACTTAAAAAAAATGCAGGTTAACTTGACAAAGATCTTTTATGGTAGTGCTTATTCTTCCTTTTAGATATATACAGAATACACTCACTAGAACAGGATGAATTGTTAGCACCTTTAAAGATTATGTTACAATGCTAAACAAACCCAGGTTAGGGCTGAAAGACACAATATGTTCCAACGGTCAGCAGAGCTCGCATTAGAAAAAGGGGGGTTAACTCTCACACCTCTTGTGGCCATCGTCTTGGAAGCTACAATAGGTAATAAGAAATGTCAAGTCCCAAGATCAATGAAATTTCAGGCTCTAGGGAAAAAACAGGAATAGCATTGATCCTTTTAAAGAACACCAGTCAGAGGGTGAATGTAATATATTGCATGGAGAGGCTCAAGAGGATAAGTGGCCAAGTCCAACATACTTACCTGACAAAAAATTCAATCAGCCTTTATAGCACAAGCTGCCTACCCTTCCTTTCTTTCATGCAGGAGTCTGATTCCAATTAAAGTGTGCAAATTAATTTTTATCACTTCCAAATTAGTTTCTGAATTTGTGTCTGTTTCAGATGAAAGCATCTGTCCCTCACTTTTCTGAAATTCTATCATCCACTTTGGTATACCTGTTCAAAGACTCTGAGATAATTCTCATTTTCAAAGTCACTTGTTTGAGATAGACATTCAATAAAGCAATCACAAAATATAAAAATAAAACAACTATAATGATACATGTTGAACTGCAAGGCATATCATATACTCTCTTTGCTCCTTTTTGTGATGACTAGTACAGTTGCTATGTGAGAAGAAATTTGTATACAAATTAGCACGCACTTAAAGCAAATCCCTATATATCGTAAGAGAAAAAAAATCAAACCACAAATTGTCAAAATCTATCACAATATTTTTTCTCTTCAATCTCTAAGAACTGCAAAGATTTATATTTCTCATATCATCTCAAAGAATTAAAATATGCAAACTATGTCCTTTTTATGTGCCATGCCTTACTAAGAGAAAACAGGCACATTTCACTGTTCTCTCAACTGCAGTAGATTTATATAATGTGGTCATCAACTTAATAAAGCACAGATTCAGATTAGCCAGTTCAGATCAGCAATTTTGGCTTAGAAAGTAGATATCTGACCCTGGCAAGAGGACTAAGTTTCATTCAGTTCAGTGTTTTTCCCAAAGGTGGTACTTAACTAAGCAAGGATAAAGAAATAAAGGGAGGTTCAATCATACGTAAACCCCTGCATTCAACTGCCCTTCAGCCTACAGAAAATCATGCCCCATCTCTCACTTTCCAGGAGCATCCCCAAACACCAGCCTTTTAGTCTAGTCTTTTTAGTCTAGTCTAGGACCTTTTTCTATCACCTCTACTTAGCAATGGCATGGTCATGAAACCAGTTTGTTGGACCAGAGAAAGTACAAATAGGATTTGCCCCATATGCTGCTGTTTAAAGTACGCAGTTTGGGCTCCTGATTTCTTGATTTATCTCTAGTTATATGCAATCATCATGTCATGTAAGATCCATAAACAAGAGCATAAAAAAGAATTTTGTTTTCTACTAAAGCTGGAGGTTCACAGGGTCCCCTCCCACATTAATTTACAGCTGATAGTCAGCATATGCTTGTGAATATGGGAATGAGGATCAGTCTCTACTGGTCAAGAACTTAGTCTCCCACTGTCTGGATGAACTCATTGAAGGTTTTTTACAAGCTATTTTTGAAAGCTACTCTGTGGAAAACATTGTATTTAAAATCTGGGAAAAACTTCAATGACAAGTGCAAACTAAACCAGAAACTCATTTTTTATACTTATTGTAGATTAAAAGTGATAACTTAATAAATGCATTGCTTGGAACAATTGTTTTAAAATTATAAAATGAAGCTCACATGCTCTTATAGGAGAGTTTTCAACTACTGAGCTAGAGCAGACTTGTAAGAGCCTTATCCAAGTCGCAATTTTTTCTCAATTCTCCTGTTTAAACCAGAGCTGTTTCTGGTTTTCCCACAGACACAGCTGAAGTCACCCGCTGAGCACATACCTGCACAGGTATTTCAGCAAAAGACTTTACACAAGACTGACAGGTTAGATTGTTGACATACAAGTTGTTTAGCAAAGATCAGATTCTGGAACATGGAACTTTAGCAAAATCTGTAAGAAGTTTGATCTGACAATCTTTTGCCCCAGAGTATTTCACAACAAGTGATTGTGACTGCTATGTTTTTGAATGAAATACCATTTTTCTATACAAATGGTAAAATAAACAAACTGTTTAGGACTGGGGTTTGCTTTTTGTCCCTCTTAAGATTTTCTGAAACAACTAAAGTTCCTTTTAGTAATTGGATGTATTGAAGCTGAAATTGATAATTAACCATCTTTCAGCTTAAAAGATAATTATAAAGTCAAGCACCTAACCCAGATAGGTACTATACCTGACATTTTTCTTTGAGTTCTTCACCTTCTTAAAGCCTGTGGTATAAAATACCTTATCTGTGTCTCCAGATGACAGCTTTTAAAAAACCAATCCCCCTTTTTCCCCCTGCAACTATCATCTACATCTTTCTGAAAATTGATTCTAAAGATCTTAAGTAATTGGATTTGACCTACAGTGAACATCTCACTTTCATTTTTCCTACAAGATAAATCCTAATCTTCTACCAGCGACTATAGAAAGGTAGATTAGAAAAGATTTCTTTAGTACTTCAGTGGCTTTAACTATGTAAAACTTCAGACATATTTTCATAAGGATTGTTGAGAATGCTTCAGTCTTGAAAACTAGTATACAGGGAATCAGTCATATGACAACTATCATGTCTGTTCGTGGTAGGGAACAGAAACTACCAGTCATTACTTCAGTAGAAGCATTTCGTTATTGTAGAAGTTTTTAAAGGTCCTTTTTTTAAAAACCCTTTGTTTTTGTGATCTATCCCCATTAATGTATGTTCATTAAAAGTCAAAGTAGCTGTTAATAAGGATAGGTTTGCAACACATGAAATTCTGGTTATAGCACAGTCCTAGTACATAATTAGCATATCCATGGTAACTTTAATTCAATGAATAGAGATAGTAATAATATTGATGACATCAATCTTCCTCAACATCAGTCTTTAACATGTCTTCAACATGAATATTTAAAAATTGTATCAATATATTTCAAAGCAACCACAGTGGACTTAGGTATTTAATCTTCCTGAGTTCTGATACCTCTGCCTGTAAGATTTCATTTGACTGGACATGACTACCTGCAGCACAGTCTCCCATTAATCTGATTATAAGACCTTTTCTTTAGCCTTATCCATATAGAGGTAGAGACGGAGAGCAAGTCATACAATTAATTTTTGTTTTCATTTACTTCTGTCAGCCAATACATATCCTTCCAAGATGTCCAAGGCAGACACTTCCAAAGTTACGCAGCTAAGATATTAAACCTGAGATACCAAAAATACCACTTCTGTGCATTCAGATATGTAAGTGATGACAAAACAGTATCAGAACTGAAATAATTCTATCTGGAAAAGAATTGAAGCAGCCAGAATGGAGATGCTAACTAAAAGGCTGTCCAAGCCCCATATAATCAGAGGAGGTAAAGGAAAGTCTTATTTTTTTTTTAAAATGAAAGTAGAAAGCTCTTTTTATTTTTCTCCTAACATAGAAATTAGTAATACTTGACATGAATCACACAGGCTGACTGACTGAATTTCTCCATATCAGAGAATTACATGCTAAAAAAGTCCTGGGATATACATAAAAATTAGAGAAATTTGTTATGGGAACACAATTTTATTTTTTCCCCTCCATTTCCTCTGTTATAAAAGCAAATTAAATCTGGTGAAAAAGCGAGGCTTATATCTGTCTCCCCTTTGCTCTGCTTACAGATAAATGGAAAATATTAAAACTCAATAAAAAGTCTACTGCTGAAAAATTAACAAAATATTTACTTTGAAATAAAACACTTTTCTAACAGCCATTCAGTTAAAGAAATACTTTCACTTACATGTCTGTAACTGACAGTACTGCCTCCAGTCAGTATTTGAATCAGTGATCAAAACTGATAGTGATGGATTCTTACATTTTTTTCCAAGGATAGAATCCTTGTGTTGAAAATAATCATCAGAATTCAGAAACTGCTTTAGATGAAATGGACTTAGTGTTGTACAGAACAGCTCTAGTATATGGATAAAAGTTGTTCTTGTCTTTAGCTCTGGTCATATCTCTGACTTGGGTGAAGGGACCTTGAAATTAGAGTGCTTTAAGTGCCCTTTTATATAAATTAAGACTATTATTATTATTATTATCATGTCCCCTTCACTCTGCCAAGCACTGATAGTTCCATGCAAATGAAATGTAAACTCTTCCTGACATTTTATCTTTTTCTATTTTTGTTCAGTCATACTGATTCTCCAAAGGTCTGCTTGCTGCAGAAAGACCTTCCCCAAGAGAGTTTCATTTAATTCTATGGCATGTGAAACATCCCTTTTTTGAAAAGGCAAGCAGCTGATACAGCATGCTGTAGCACAAAGGGAGTAAGGTAAAATGCCAAAAATTATTTCTAGGGGAAGGAAAGTCAAAATATAGTGATATATGTCCTGTCACTTAAAGGCCATAACCATCTTGTTCTAGTTTATAATGACATGATGCTATAAGTGATACAAATTTAAGAACTACACTCCCATCCTATTATCTGTTACCACACACAGAGTGTTTAAACATTTTTTTGGCTAGTAATCAATGAATTTTTTAGCATGTGGTGCTCTTCTTATACCAACTTTCAATCTATAAGTGAAGTAATCGATATATTTGGTAATCACTTCTAAAGCTGACAGAAGGAATGTTAAAATGGATAGGTGTGACAGAAGACCTCTCAGGAAGGTGTTTTTTTAAAGGATACTTACTGCTATTTGGATTGTCGCCTATAATGTGATGTCGGCCACTCCAGTACCAAAGCAGCAACGTAGCGTCGCGAGACCCAGACACAATGTAGCAATCACCCCCAATATAGGACTCCGATCTGGCAAGGCAAGTCACGACATCCCAGTGGCCAAACACAATCTGAGTTAATTTTCCTGGTGGGAGTGCAAAGTCATACAAATTCATTTTTTTAAGGTACTTCCAACATTTAGAAATTATTACCTATATAATTAATATTCAGTTCAAATGCAACTTCTGCCTCATGTCCCTTAATTAGAGTTCACTACATGCTATGACAGGATTAAAAAATCAAAAAGATAAAACTTTTTTTTCCTCTTTTTTTCATTCCTATTGAAGGCTGTGCTCTGTGTCAATTGATAGTCCAACCTTTATCTCTGAAAATCGTCAGTGCTGCAGTCACTGAATATTAAGTGGTTATGGCTCCATCAGTATTTAAGCACTGGCATTAGAACACTATTTACGAATTCCATGAGTGATATGCATAAGACAGCACATGAACTTTTCCAGAATTGTGCTACATTATTATATTAAAACTGTCTATTTGTTCTATGTTAATGTTAAACTAAGGTTTACTGCGATTATCACCTCCTTCTTTCTATTATTGCAATTAGTTTTTAGCAATATATTTTTAGCAATATACTGAATGATATTAGGCTAAGTAATCAGAAAAAGAAACAAAATATCAGTTCCTGTAGCAGGCTATGCAACCTAATTCCTTACTATAGGAAATTAATAGAGCTAGAAACAATACAGCCATAAAACTTTTGTAAAAAAATTTTTGGTTGATACTTTTGATATGATCAATTTCTTGAAAATAACTATGGTTTTCAAAAGTTACCACTAATAAAACTGTATGCCTTTCTATTTCCTTTTACATCCTTTATCTTCCATTAGAAAACCATCTTAAAGCTATTATGTTCAAACAATAATGAAGTATTTTATAAACTGCCCTTTATCATTTATTGAGAAGTAAGCACAGGCATTAGATATGGTACTATTAAGATAATAGTCTCTGTCCACTTTGTGACCCACAAAGAAACAGAGAGCTGTATTTAGGGTCACCTGTTTCTGTAGAATAAACTCGAAAGCTCTTGTCCCAGAAACCACAGATAAGAATGTAGCGGTTATCTGCTGTGACCACGAAGCAATGCGCATTGATCTGGATGCTCTGATCCACAAGGTCTGTGATCTGCCGTTTGTTCACACCAGAGTTATTGGCTGTAACAAAATGCAAAACACATTTTACAAGTAAGCCATTCCAACACCTTCCTGTCACGCACTTACAGGAGAAAATGAATACATTTAACTTTCAATGAACTGTGAATTTGTTGTTGAGTAAGCATTTTGAATATGAACATTTAGAGCTGTCTATATGGGTGTCAGAAACACAAAATTATTGTGAGATTTCTAGTTTCCCTTTGAAAAAGAGAAAAGATTTTACAGGAGATGACAATTTCTTACAAACTGCCTGATGCACTGCATAATAGGTGGTAATAATTTAGGTGCTCTGCTGAAGTACTCCCCCAAACCAATCTGAACTAGGAGAAAGTGGTGGAAGTCCATTTAAAATACTAAGTCAGCGCTAAGAATACTGCAGAAAGTCAATTCTTGCTGGTTGGTATCTCTTCTACATAAAATAACTCAGCTTGTATTGTGTGACCTTGACATCTCCCATACCTCCAGATGCCTAATCAGATCAAAGACATAAGGATTCAACCAATGAATGAGGGGAAACCTCATTGTAGTCTACATCTTCCTCATGAGGGGAAGTAGAGGGGCAGACACTGATCTCTTCACTCTCATGACCAGTGACAGGACTTGAGGAAAAGGCACGAGTCTTGAGGACTTGAGTCAGGGGAGGTTTAGGTTAGACATCAAGAAACGTTTTTTCACCCAGAGGGTGGTTGGGCACTGGAACAGGCTCCCCAGGGAAATGATCACAGCACGAAGCCTGAAGAATTCAAGAAGTGTTTGGACAATATTCACAGGCACATGGTGTGATTCTTGGGGCATCCTGCGCAGGGCCAGGAGTTGGACTTGATGGTCCTGATGAGTCCCTTCCAACTCAGTATATTCTATGATTCTATGAATCTTTCAAACCTAATGTGTTTTTCTGATACAGGAAAAGTAGGTCTTATCACCTACTCCTCAAGCAGGGAGCCAGGCCTTGGGTAGTAATCTCAAAAGAGGCAGTGACACCTGGAAATTCTCCCAGACAAAGGGAAAAGGAATGGTTTATGCAGAATACCACCACCCTGACTGCCAAATGGAGCTGTTAAGAAGGACTGGGAGTCCCCAGCTAATGTGCTCTTTACTCCCTGTGACACAGCAGACAAGATATGGCAATACAATAAAGGTGTGTTCCATCTCACTTAATATCAACTTTCTAAAAGTTCAGTATATAATCTAAGTAAATTATCTACACTCCCTCCAGTCTCACTGGGGAGGAAGACATCATTTCACAAGTAAAGTCCTCTCACCCTGTAATAGCTGTCTAAGTGTTAGACAGCTCCAGAGGACAGTTTGTCTTTCTACAGTGGCTATGGAGGGAATCTTGACAACTGACTTCAGTTAACTGAAGTCAGGTGAGATAAAAATCACTCTGAGAAGCATATTTCTCCTAACATAGGAACATGACTTAAAGCAGATAATAATCTGAATTTTTTCCCCTATTTTTGTTATTCTACCTAAATTGCTCACAACTGAATGAAATAAGAGACTCAACAAAAAAAATCATATTTTAAAATTGCTTGTGAGAGTTGATATTGTGTTTACATACATTCTAAGAACATGATTTAAATTAGCAAACCCTCTATGTCCATCAACAATGAATAACAAATTACTCAAATTTCCAGAACAGGTGGGCGCAATAGCTGTGCTCTAGTTTTCGAGAGAAAAAAACTGAGGAGAAAACCATTGCCATTTTATGATGAAATGAAGCACACAGAATGAGAAAGATAACTCTCCTGAGGTACTTCTATATAAGTCTTTCAACTGTGAATATTAACACAGGCAAAAAGGGAGTTTTTCCTTCAGAGATGTTTAAAAATAAATTTTTTTCCTTACCAATGCTACAAAATTGCCCAATTTCTGTTTCAAGTTACTGAAACAAAATAACCACAAATCAAATAGTTGCAATTAATGAGAAATTGTGACCGCTAGGGAGTCCTGCAGTCAAAGAGTTTTAACAGATGCTATTCCTCAAAATAATTGGCTTCCTCAAAAATTCTGGATTTTAAAAATGCTATCATGCATCAATTTAAAATCCAGTCTTTTCATTATTAAATTAGTAATGCCAACGAAAACAATCCAAATCATAAATTGAATTAAAATAAATGGATCTACATCTTCGCTGATAAACACAATTCTGGCTGTAAGAAAAGAAAATATGTGAACTCCACCAGACCTTCACATTTTATTTTACTAATGTGACCTGATAAGACAACAGAATTATAGATATAGGCTGACAATGTAAGTGACTTAATTGGTTGTTTCTTAAATACCAATTGCTGGTGATGTTAATAACAAATAGCACTCATGTAATTCATTCAGCATCAATAAAAGCTAATAAAAGCTAATGCTTTTAGTTCTCCAGGACTGACAAGAATAAATATTTTCCTATTTTCTGTGTTAAATGAAGCATAATATACAAATATAGTTTAATCAATAATTTTTGAAAATCATAATTTCAAATATATCGCTACATTTTCATCTTGACATACCAATCAATGGATCCATTTCAATTGGAAGATGATGAGCTTGATCCAAAGAATATCCTGGGGCTCCCCGAAGGCCTACCCACGAAAGGAAGAATAAAGCACAGAGAAACCTTTTTATATGATTTTTCTAGGTTTAAAGATTCACTATTGTATTATTGTCTATTTTAAAAAAGTAACTTCTTACTATTTTTTCTATTAATCTTCTGAGATTCCTTCCTCTGTGCTACACAAATATACATCAGTTAATTCTTCAGTTATGTACTAGTAACTATAAATGTAGGAGTGCTAACTTCATCACAATTTCTGCAGCCACAAACATTCATTAAATAACTTATTTAAAATAGTGTAACAGAGAATTATTTTCGGACCTTTTCATGGATTTATGTAGAATTTTTCGCTGTAACACTGCAGGCTACCGTAAATTTGCCACAATTATTCCTGTTTGTTCAATTCTGAATAGTCTTTCAGATGTTCAAACGTGCATCAGTGTCTGCATTTAGTGTTATCTGCTCTCATGCACAGACAGCATTCCTTTAGCTCTTCTGAGCACCTTCCCTAGCATATAAGTGAAATTGTCATTACTGAAAGAACAATTTTTGTTATGAACTGCCATGTTGCACAAGAATATCCTCCATAATAGGAGATACAGATTTCTGGAGAATAAACTCCATTTTCTACTACTGCAATAGACAACTGGAAGAGGTAAAAGAAAACCTGGTCTATAGCTAGCTCTGCCATCTTCTGAAACACTGCTCTGAGATCTTCTCCTTCCCTACTTTCCGTCTCTTCTTTCAAAATCAAAACAGTTTGGGACAGATCTTTACTGGTATTAACTTAAATTAATTCACTTCTATTATGAGATGGTTATGTAAATGCCTCCTGCTGTTTATAAACTCCAAAGCTCTACATACATTCAACAATGAGTTGTCTGTGTATACATTTCTGTAATAAACCTATCATTTACACTGGAGTTGTGAGTTATTAAAGTAATATTATGGTAATAGTAGGGAATTGACACCCTGTCCCAGATTAGCCTCTTGCAAAATAAAAGACATTGCCAGGCATGATGTAAAAGTAAAGAAAAATCATTACAATGAGTTTTGATTCTCTAAATAGTGTCATTTTCCTGTCTCTTTGTGTTATAATATACAGTATTATTTTCTTTTCAATTTAAACCAGAGGTTTACAACTGGTGTGAAATTTAATTTATGGTTGGTTCATGCCATGAATTCTTCATGTTTGCAACATGACTTATGTTTTACAAGAGTATAGATGAAAAACTAAAATCTTACAATTACATGTACCCTAAAGATCAACACAACTTCAGCTAAACTAAATGACTTCAAATGTAAGTTGTTAAGGAAATCCTTGTACTCCAGCATACTGCAATATTAATGACCTTGACTCCTTCACAGTAAGGCATGGGTAGGAATTTTGGCTTCCCCTCACTTGACCGTCTGGATGAGAAAGGGTTACTCCAGTACTAAATAAGCTTCCTCAAACAGAGGAGACATGAATGGTGTATAGAGTACTTGGACTTTTCAGGGACAGTATTCCTGAAAAATTGAGGGCAAATAATTAGGAGTTAGCCAATTAATGTTAGTCAAAAGAGCCTTAAAATAACATGGCACAGTTTCTACACCTCAGAATCATTCCTGACATTTGGGTCTTCTATTGAGGATACAGTAATAAAATATTTTTAAAAAATGTTTTATTTGGTTTTTTCCCCTCTAAATTTTTCCCTTTTGTTTTAAAGAAATGGTAAAACCATTTTTTACATGTAACAGAGTTACACCTGATGAGTATCATAAATGTATGGATTTGTGAAAGGCAATCAGATATTCTGTTCTGTTCCTGTTGTATTCTCTAAACCACTATGAAGAGTTTGTTTGTAAACAGAGAACAGGTACTTTCTGTACACAAATGCAAAATTTAATATTCCTGCCAACATTATTCAGATGTTTGGAATAAGAGTGATATTAAACTTTTTATTGCTATTCATGAATTCAGAGTGATACTGACTTTACTTGCTCTGATAGTTCCTCTACAGCATGCTTATAATGGAACTCCTTTTCATTCCTCTAATTATTGCATGTAACAACAGTCTTTGTACAGCTTTGTACACAAGAGGTGGGATACCTGATTTGAATTATTCACCTAGGGGAGGCTTACAGGTATGTCAGTGAAATCTAGGATCCCTATACTGGAGGTAGACATCTAACTTAAATATCACAAATCTCTCACCAGTATGACCTATTTCTGTCCAGGGTCTTCTCCTGTGCATACAGAGGGAAGGAATTTTCCTTTTTTGCTTGGTCTCTACAAAGCTTCTGAGCCAGATATTGAGTTACACTCTGAAATACCAGGTACCATCTTCTTTTTCTTAGGTGGGAAGAAACTCTCAAAAGTTTCCAGATATTGCAGCATAAGGGCTATCACAGCAGGAGGCTACCTTAGAAAATGAAACCTGTTTCTAACTCTTGTGACAGTACCTCATGGCCCGACCACCTACTTAGCAATGCCTGGGACACTCTCAGCACCTACATGTCCAGGTGACATGGACAGTTGTAGTGGTAATATGGAGAGGTTAACAGAGAGGTTGGAAGGGAATTTTTCAATGACCTTTTGGGAGGGAATGAGGAAACTTCTCTTCAGAATAGTTCAGCATCTGGCTGCTTTGGCTTGCTTAGGGTCCCAGAAAATCTAACAGTGACCAAGGGGATGGCATATTACAAGCTCCTGAACAGACATGAAATCTCTCTCAAGCAGCAGACAGGGATGTACGCTCCCTGAAACCTGGGACATATTAATATTGGCTGTGTCAAGAACAGCAGCACTCTCCTGAAAAGCATTGTATCAAAGACTGATCCTGAAGTAATCACAAATCAATTGGCTGCCATGGTGATATGCTGCTGTTAGGGAGAGTGTTTCTAGGAATGACACCAGAGAAAACAGAAGCTTTGATTATTTGACACAAACCAGAAGAAACAGTAAATTTTTGTGCACAGGCAGGTGAGTGAGCTAAATTGAACTCAAAATTAAAGCTGAATTGTTAAGGTGTCTTCAAATTTGAATGAAAGGTGCCCATGAGGACCTACCTACTGTGTTGTGCCACCGATTGACTGCAAACAGCCTGCTGCAAGTGACGGTCACCACGGCAGGAATGGTTAGGTGGGGCAGTGTGTTGGCTGCCACGTGTGTGACAGGGGAATTTGAGGGAAACTTCAGCACCATTATCACATCCTGTTGCATCTGATCTTTAAACATGAGGGGGCTCTGTGGAAGGAAACACTGTTGAGTAGAAAGGAGAAGAGAGCAGAAGAAAACAGAAGGGATAACACAATTAGTGAGGAGGTCTGAGGGAAAATGAGGTTAAAAAAGAGCAGGCACGTGCACATACAGGGAAAACAACACTACCTGCACATCTACTCTACTGATGGAGGAGAGCAAGATCAGAAGCTATTGTTGGAACATCACACGAGGATAAGCAGAGAATAGGTATGGTAAGGGTTATCATTACAAGGCGCAAAATGACCACTAGTATTAATTAGTATACAGTAAAATGTAAAACTATTCAGCAGTTAATATTCATAAAAGAGAGATATGTGGTAATGAGTTAATCAATTAATACATAATAAATATTAATTCTCTAAACAACAAGAGTTAAAAAAAGAAATTTTAAGAGGGACTCAAAAACTCACAGATATTTAATTTTTCTTAATGAATTCCTTATATGAAATACAGCACTTCCAAACACAGACAGTTTAATTCTATGTAAAGCATTTGCTTATTAGGGAGTCTGTAACCTAATAAGGTTATAATAATGCAAGCCTTTTTCATTATTGTACAAATGACGCAATTGTTTGCACATGGACAATGATAGTTATTGAGTACGGGTTTTTATGATTTTTTTTTCAATCACTGTTATAACAAAAATAATTAGTTCTAGAAGTTCAAATATTCTTTGCTGCTTATCACTTTGCATTATTATTTAAAATATATTATCCATATCTTAAGAATATAAAATAAATATTATGTATGTTTGACTTTTACCTGTTACTTAAAATAACACAACACTTCCAGATCAATTCCTACTTTTGTAGTGTACAATTAGATAGAGCAATTTTTTTGTAGATAGATAAAATGATTGAAACTACTGCATGCATTAGTGTTGATTTACAAAGCTCGAAAGAAACATCTAGCTCTAAGCATTTTATCAAAGGCGCTGAGGGGCACAGGGATCTATCTGTCTTGTTCAGTCTGGCTATTTGATACAATTCTTTGCAAGAAGCACAGAGAAGAATGTGATGGGGATGAATTTTGGAGTTCAAATTTAAATTCAGAATATACATTGCATTCTCCTGGGGGAATGGGTGGGAGGACTCCAGCATGATTTATTTGAACTCCAATACTTCATTTTTTTCAAGCAGACATTGTTCATAAATCAGCCCCTAACAATGCATCCTTTAAAACAAAACAACATGCTCACTCTAAGGAAAGCCTGCAGTCATTCCCACCACTTGCAGAAACAAGAATCCAAATATGTATTTATCAAGTGTATATGCTTTAAGATAGGGCCTTATTATACAATATTAGAAAGGAAAAGCCAGGACTATAGGAAGCTGAAGCTAGTCACACCTCCACCTTGCTCTGCTAGAACACTCTGAGCTGTTGCTACTAGAAATAAGTATGGCTGCATGGGCAATGGATGGCATTAAAAGTGTTGCTTTAATGAGTACTTTATGACCTACAAGGGATCCTACGGTTCAAAGGGAATGCATTCCCAGCCAGCAGTCATGTCTCACCAGGTGCATGGCAGAGCTCCGAGGTGGATGGGGCTCAATGAGCAACTGCGATGGCGTCTGTCCAAAGTTCTGTATCTGCGCTTCCATGGCCTGCGGGCAAGGGAGAGGGACTGTCATGAGCAATATGCATCAAGGAGAGAGGTCAACACACTGTGTGACAATGCAGGCATATCCCAAGTCAGCCATGAAAAAAGTCCAGAAAATTCACCCGGTGCTCTGCTCCCAGGCTGCAGACTCATCCAAGTGTTAGTATTTTGTAGACAAGCTTTGCTTCTCCTTTCAGCATGCTTCAGTTAACCAACTAACCATTCTCATTTCCAGTAAATGGAATTATATGTGAAAATGTTAACCTGTGAGGACATGCAGTTCAGGTCTTGAGAGAGCTTTTTTTTTGCACTAAAACGAACATATATACCTTAACAAAGTCCTTTGTAAGGAGGAAAGTATGAGGATCTCTAATAAAATAAGCCTCTGGAATCTTAAATGGGGGAAAAGAAAAGAAAACTGAGAAAGAAAATTTATGTATAAAATAAAATAAAATACTTACTATTTCAACAACCTTAGTAGGTGAAAGCAAAAAAATGCCAGATACAAATCTTGTCAGGTACATTAAGACTAACATAGAAATCTTTCCAATTTGCATACATTCATTGAATGTTTATTTCATCCTTAATTTTATTGCATTTTTCATGGGCTTTCAGGCTTCACAGGTTTGAAATGAAAACTTAGCAATTTCAACACATTCTTTAAGACTTAATTCTACTTTGAGAATAAATCTTGACTAGTTCCATAGGTAGAATACAGCCCACATACTGAAATGCTTCTGCTACTCAAACAGTTCATTCAAACAAAAATATATTTAAGATATATTCTTAAAAACTGTGGTAAAAGATTGCTAATTGTAGAATCAATACTGTTAAAGAATACTCCTTATCTTTCAGATAGGTACTATTTTATTTGACCTTGTAAAATTGAGAATAAAGCATTCATAAAAAACTAAACTGGCAGATTTTAAAATGCACTGTGCATTATGTACCTCTATATACTGTACCATGAACTACTGACCCTTAATATTTTTTCTGTGAGCTTCATGAATTTTTCATTGGCTACACAGAAGTAACATGATAAACCACCAAAAACATTTCCATCTTGGTAAATTATGTTATTTCTTTCAGACATAAATGGTAAGAAGCACAATGAATACTTCATGATACAGAAGAATCGTTTTAATGTACATATTTTGTCATTTCTACATGCCAATCTGCGCTTCCCTCTGCTTCACAGTATAGATATAAGAACAGATGTTACAGAGAGATTTCCTAATAGGTCACTGATGTCCACCACTCTTAATGCCCTAGATTGACAGGTATATAATGGAATACCACAAACAAATGTTTGCTGAAAAAGAAACTTATTGCAAAGTCCAGTCAGGTGGCTGAAGGACTTTCAATGGATTGTAGCCCTAGCACATTTGATGCTGTAATTATCCCAGTACAGATGATTTCTTGTTTGTTGACTAATTCAGAGTGAACTTGAAGCCTCCAAGGCACAGTGTGTTTCTTAGGATCTGGTGAGCATCTCAGGTTTTATTAACATCATTTAATGATGAATTAATTTAAAAGCATAGACGAATTTTATACAAAACCAAAGCATTTGTGTGGGCATATGTGTATATGTGTGTACATGTCCATAGAGCAGCTATCTATGTGTATCATACAAATAGTATCTCTTTACGCACTGTGTAGATGCCTTTACTCATGCAGACATTTTTTATACAGGAGTATAAAAGTCACATAATGGTAGAATTTTCTATTACATTCAGCACTCTAGAACTGATTTGCCTGGTGAGAAGAAGGGAAAGGAATTACACTTGTTTGTGAATTTCTTTTTCAAAATCACAAATACTAATATTAACAACATCAGGCACTGTGTGATATGTACTTCCAATCATTGTACTGACAATCATATTTTCAGAAAAGTAACCTCCATTTTTCTATTTTTTTTCCAAATAATTATCGAGGTTAATTTAATTTTAATTTTCCAAAGAATTCTGTGTTGAAATAAGAGTGTGAATTGTATTTGGCAGCAATACTGAAAAAAACCCAGATTTCCCTCTCTCACCCTTTGTAGCAATCCCTCAAATGATACTAATGTTCTCTCGCAGAAGCACTGAAATGAATTATTAAATTTTTTTCCATGCCATCCAGTTTTAATTTACACATTTACTTTCATGTTGTCCAGTCTTGGCAAATTCTGATTGTTTGGCTGTAAATTCTCCAGCAAATAAACTTTTCTGGCTTTCCCTCTCAGTTCCGGTAGATTTATAGTAGTAATAGAGGAGAAGAAAGAGAAGCAGACTACAATAACAAGCTCTCCTGGTTTTTTCAGATTATGAGGAATGGACACTTAAAATATAACTGTCAAAAGCAAGTGCTATTTTACAGCTGAAGATGTGCTGCACTCACATACTCTATGCTTCCATAATTTTAAAACATTTAAGTTAATGTCAAGTCCTTCTGCAAGCAGAAACCATGCAGAATCAAGACCTTGATATTCAGGGGATATCGAATACTTTTGCTGGCTTGCACTTACAAGATGACCACCTCTCCTTCACCCCATGGATACTAATGTTATTCTTTTCATTCTAAAACACCATTTGTAAAACTGACACCTCTTAGAAGCATTAAAGAAACTGAACAATGTTTCTTAAAATATACCCATAACATTCAGCTACTGCACGGAGACTGCAGTCTGCACAACACTACTGCTGTGCACAGCTCCAACTGGTATTACTCTCTGGAGCTCACAATACTTACAAAGGACAGAAAAACCTTGTCAAAACTTAACACAGAAGATAAACATAAGCACACAGAGATAAAGTGACTGGCCCAAGGGTATTCTTAATGCTGCCTCCTATCAGATAACTTGACACGAAATGAAAAGCAGGTACAGAACAGATCTGTGAATAATAATGTAATACATTGATTTGTTTACAAGAGAACTCTGTCTGTATCTGAAATTAAACTGAAAACTGCTAAGTGTACACCACAGTTTTTCTTGAGCTGTAAATCATCAAACTTTAGATTATTTAATGGTATTAAACATTTCATTCTTATTAAACAATTCCTTTTCTTCCATCAGATCTTGAATATTGTGTGCAAAGGACTACATCGCTCTCTGAGACACACATTCTAGTCACTTTCAAATTTTAATAAAATAAAGTTTCTTCTCATTTTACCTTCAAATGTCCTTTGTGAAGAAATAATATAAGCTTGGAATTCAATGGCTGCCAAATGTAACACTTTCAAAACAGCAAAATGGCAGTTATATTAGTTTTCTTTCTCAATAAGGTGCTGAAGAAAAGCTATTTAGTGAACTGATTTGAGATTCCCTACTGTTTTTAATACACATAAAATGAGATTTGTACTCCAGATACTTCAGGGAGTGTCTGCTAGGATATGATCATGTATTCAGAAAGATAAAATAGCTCTTAGCATATTAGTTGATAATAATAGGTCAGAATGAGGAAAGAAAAAAATCTTCCAACTTGTTGGTAATTCAAAGCTTAAAATTAATTGACCTCACACACCCTAATTTGTGCACTCAAAAAAACCACAACTTCATAGTACTTAAGACAACAATAACATTTAACAACAACATAAAGGGATTTATATTACATATTTACGTACACTTTGGTCAAGAAATCAATATATCAAATAATCAAATCTTATGAATAATACTAATCTTAGATACAAAGATCAATATTCTCAATGTATATTGCTCAAAGAAAATAAATTAGTGGATTCCAATTTTAATTCTTAAAGGACACTTAATTCTTAAAGTGTCCAATTCACAAGGACACTTGGATGCTCCTCTGCAGCCTGAAGGATGAGGCCTTAGTGTCAGTTCCCCATTGAATGAAGAGTTTGATACATCTGCTTTGCTCATTATGCAGTCTACTGAAGTATTTGGGTTTTATTTCTTAATTCTGGTTGAAATAAATACAAATATGCTATTAAATACTTCAAGCACTCTATCTCTTTATGTGTAAGAATTATTTTTAGCAGTCACAGGCAATGTCTCCACCAGCAAGAAGTGTAACTCAACAGGAGCAGAGCTGCAGAGCAAAAGAGTTAGTCTTAGGATAGAATAGGACATTCTTTCCAGTTGGAAGGGACCTACAATGATCACCCAGACAAATGCCTGATTGCTGACCAAAAATTAAAGCATGTTCTTAAGGGCATTGTCCAAAAGCCTCTTAAACACTGGTAGGCTTGGGGCATCAACCACCTCTCTAGGAAGCATGATCCAGTGTTTGATCACTCTCTCGGTAAAGAAATGCTTTCTAATGTCTAGTTTATCCTTCCCCATATGCAGCTTTGAACCATTCACATGTGTCCTATCACTGTATACCATGGAGAAGAGGAAGTTATGTTTCTCTTGAGGAAGCCATGCTGAAACCATGCCCTGGTTTTCCCACCAGGTTGGCTTCAGAGAGGTCTGCAGACCCCAACAGTGGCTGATCTCTGCCAGCTGCACCCCTGGCACACATGGCTTCTGTGGCTTGGGAGCCAGTTCACACACTCCAAAACTGCTCTGCTGTTTGAATGAAAGCATGGCAAATAGGGATGGCTGGTACATTAATTTCAGATGCACAGTCCTAATCTAAATGAAAATCCTAGAATTGACTCTTCTGAAACATCACAGAAATTAAGGTTTTCTCTGCTATCTGACATACCTCTGCAAAAAGGATAAGCTATGAAGCAGTTTATTTTTAACACACTTTTCCTCTAGAATTGTTCTTTAAAAATGCAGGTAAAATCACCAAGGAAAATATTAACAGTCCATTTCATTTGCAAAATCGCCTTTGCTGAGATGCCCAGTGATTATCATTATTATAATGAAGAAACATTAAAGCATGAGCACTTTCACTATGAGTCATGAAGGGAAGAAAGAAATTCCTAAAAAACAGACTGCACTGCGGATAATAAGACTAATTTTATTCTTATGTGAAGTGCTCTTCTTTTATTCATCTTCACTAATTACTACCACAGTCAGGTAGACTTTCTAAAATATTTATTATCTAAGTT